ATTGGACCATCATCTAATATTAATTAACTGAAAAAAAACCTATTCATCTTTAAAATTTGTCTTAATAAATCCTATCTTAGACAGCATATCTACTACAAGCAATCTATATTTTCTATTTGTTTGAGAATTCTACTACTAACTCACAAAACTTGTAATTTTAGGCACAATGAGTGTATTTATTACACTAAACATACAAGTGAGTCAATTCAATGACTTACATTGCAAATCAAGAAAAGATGTTAATTAGTTGATCTAGTCATCTTATCTTATATTTATAGAATTAATAGTCTTGTATTTAGTTTTTTTAAAAAATAAATTTATTATAAAAAATAATAGAAAGAGGTTTCTTTGCTTCCTTTCTTTAGCTATTTATTTGACTACCTTGTTTATCAATTTATGTTATTTAAAAAATACTTAATCACATAATTTCTAATAATTATATTTGGTTTTAATTTTATAAGATAAGAAATGGCAATCATAAGATTTGTTATATTACCAATTTTTATATAGAGTGATTAATAGATTTTTATCATTTATATACTATACTAATCTCTAGAACTTTATTTAGAATCACATTAGAATCTAAATTTTGAATTACATGGAATAGAATTTTTGACGTAAGGACTACGTGGCATAGAATTGTAGAGTATGTGGACTAGAAATTTGATGAATTAATTTGTATATTCTATACTTCTAAATATATATATTGATAAGAAATATTAATTAAATTAAAATAATAATGAGACCTAATAGTAGCTAATATTTATTCTTCATTCAAATAGATGCCATAGCTCTATACTTTATTAGATTTGAATATATGATAGTCTTGAGAGCTATTCAGCCCTTATATATTTATATACATTTTTACTTCTTAAAACTTTCTACAACATATTTTATGAGTAAATAAAGCTATAGATCATATTAATACAAAATAATTAGCTCTTCTTTATCATAAAAAAAGATACTATAGCTTCATATTATTTCTTCTCTAAGTAAATAGGTACTTTTTAGAAAGCTTATAAAACAAAGAAAAACTTCTCAAAACCAAATTCAAGATATATACTAAAAAAAACTTCCAAAGAAAAACCTTAAAGAGTGGTTGGCTCTTTTTTATCCAAAAAGACATCACAACTTCATAGTAACTCCACTTGGAGTAAATAAGAGCTTTTTGAAAAGCATAGAAAGAAAAAAAAAAAACAAGTTTTCAAAATCTCATATCTAAATTCAATACAAGCCTATGTCATTCCACTTTATCCCATATTTCTTTACTTTAGCATCATACCACTATATCTCAAGCTCATACTAATATATCTTGACTTATATATATAATCATTATTTTATTTTATTTTATTTTAAATAAAAATTTTATAATATTTTATATTATTTTTATATATTATATTATTTTTTAATATGACAATGTCATTCAAGAAAAGATAAAAACCATGATAATATAATTTTTTAAATAAATAGTCAATAAACCTACCTTGTGATTTTGAAGTTGGATAGCTTTAGAATTAAAGTTCAATTATTAGTTGTATTTAATTGATGAATCCTCAAAATTTTGATCTTGTGCTTTCAAACTTCTTGAGCAAGAAAATTTTTGGTTCTCTAATGCTTGAATAGTGTTCTATCATAGAAGAAATAGTATAATTTGATATGCATATTGAAGCAACTCCAATCGTCTCTATATCTTCATTAATTGTCAATCTTATTATTCTTTTTGGTGGTAAATTGAATTGATTCATAACAAGCATTAATTCCTTCATTTGCTATTGCATTTGTGCCATTTTACTCTCTATTTCAGTAAACTTTGTCATGATTACATAATAAAAAAGAAAATATTTAATATCTTTTAAGATAAATAGAAGAGAGATTTGAAGAACAAAAGAAATTCTAGAAACAATATCAACTTAGAAGTAGATAATCCTCAATTTCTAATATACTTATGTCTCATTAAGAAAAAAAGATAATCTATTCTTAATCAGGAAGAGACAAAGCTTTGATATTATAAATTTACTCTTATTAATCTATCAAGAATAAGAACTTGTTGAAGGCAAATAAACAAGTGAAACTTTTTTCAAAGAAAGATGACAAAATATAAATAAATAAATATTTATATTTAAAAGAAATTAGAATAGCTATTGCCAAAAGATAAAAAAAAACTAAAGATCCTTGAAACTAGACTAAAAACAAGAAAAGAATTAACAAGACTAAAAATGGCTTCATTCTTACATCTATATATACTATCTACCTCAGAGCTATGTAGCAATGTTCTATAAAACCTCCAGCATATATCCAATTTGCAAGAAACATATCTTAACTTGTAAGGTAAGTTTTCTATATGAGTACCACATTGTTAGCATGTACCACAAGCTACTAATACATGCAATACATGGCTAATTTGTTGGCCAAGTTTCTAATATATCAATCAATTACATATATAAATATATATATATATATATATATATATATATAAATGTGAAATTATATCTATAAAGCTTTTAGAAAGCTATTTTAAAAGATATTATAAAATTAATATACTTTTATCTACTTCTATTTATTTATATTATCTATATAATTATTAGAATATATATATATATATATATATATGATATCTTTTATATCACTAATAACTGGTTATATATTACAGATTGGTCTTTGATCACTTATCATATCTTATTCACAATCTCTTCTATTAGTTGTATTTTTTACCATTGATTATCAATCATATTCTATTTACAATTTATTAGATTAGTTGTATTCTTTAGCATTGATTATTGGTTGTTCCATTCCTATTAATTCTTTGTTATCAATCAAAATCAATAATTGATCTACTTTAATGATTATTCCTTCTAACTTCTTATCACTAATTATCTTTTTATAAGTAATTTCCAATCATTGATTATAGTACCTTAATCTATGATTGAGATATAGGGTTAAAATTTTAATTTTAGAATCTAGATTATAAGATGTAGATTTGGATCTTAAAACTTGGCAATGTACCTTATATGTCTAGGTCATTGCTACTTCCTCCAACATTTCTATCATTGGATATATTTGCCTCTTTATGTATATTACTACCAATTGCTTATCTTTCTATAAGTGCAAACACCCTTCTTGTTTGATCACAATCTCTCTTTTAGTTACTCATGTATATATCCAATTTTGTTATATGCTCATCTTTAAATAAAAATGTAACTAATTAATGTCATCTTTTATTGTACTATTCTTTTGAAGTACTAAATTGCAATGTTATTGCATTCTATTTCTATGGTTGCTTTTGTCACTTGTTGCTATAGCCAAATCTACTACCAACACCTCCAAATTTAAAAACACCTTGAAATCTAGTTGAATAATATCAACTCTATAAAATAAAAACACTCAATGCTCTTAAAATATCCACTCCAACAACAAAACCTTTAAATACAATCCAATTAATTTCTTTGAATGAGCAGGCTCATAAAATTCAAATAAAGATTTCTTCTACCTCCAAGCTTGCACTGATTTGTAATTGAGGTCACTTCAACCTTGAGTTATAAGTAATAATATTCATCTAAAGATCTAGAGATTATCACCTATTGTATATTCACAAATATGAGCAATGAAGCTAGTAAGAATATAATTTGATGATATCTCACTCACTTATTTTTGAGAATTAAAATTTGATTTTAATAACTAAACCAATTAATAAGTAACTTTGACAAAAAAATTAAGAACAAATTCTAAGAGTCTCAAGGCAAAAAATGTGTATATAATAACAAGTATAAGGCATGAGTTAATGATAAGGAGTACAACTACTTTTCAAAGTAGGCTTGATATGACAATTTTTCAAACTTAGTTGCAAATCAAAAGCATTGTTGAATGTTCCATCAATGTTAATTGATCATTATTGCTACATTTGTAATATTCTAAGAGCATGTCATAGTTTCTAAATCTTCAAAGTTAATAAGAGGTGCATTAAGCTTACCTTTGACCATCGTACATACAAAAAAATATATATTTTTTTTTTTATGTATGCACATTCATATAAGTCTATGCATGCCCAATGTAGACTTCTCTACAAAGATGTAATGAGTTCATTTGGAGAAAAAAATCTCTTTTGCAAATGATATCTATTTATTTTAGATGAAATTCTTTAATTTGGATGAAAAATTATTCATCATCTATTATTGATACTCAAGTATATTCTATACATTCTAAAATCAATGAATAAAGGATATAGTATCAATAAATTAAAAACTCTTATAATTTGAGAATTCATTAACTTCAATAAAATATACCAAAATCCAAGTTTTAGTTGAATTAAGTGCACAAATCTATTATGATGAGTCTTCTTAGAATTTTAGAGTAATTAAACACTCCAAGACTTAAACAAAAAATTGAGAACTTCCAAGCTTTCTTTTCAAGACCTTTTTAAAGATCTAATGTTTAATTCTCACTCTTGTGGTGGCTCTATGTGCTATAACACACTTTAGTATAGCTTACTATATTTTTTATATATAAAAAATAATATTCTTGTTCCAATTTTTATTTTTAAAATTATAACTATTGCATTAAATTTATTTTTAAAAAACTATAATTATTTTTAAATATGAAGTATTTTTAAATTTTATTTAATTTATTTATTATATAAATATTTAAATTAAAAGCCATAAATAATTAAAATATTTATAACAACTAAATATACTATCATAAAATATAATTTAAAATCACTTTTCCATTAATTATAAAAGAAGAAAATTTTGTAATTCTTAAGTTAATAAAAAACCAATAAAAAAAATAATAAAGTAAAAAAAAAAAAAAAAAAAAAAAAAAAAACTACAATAAAACTTGTCTAATTATTCTAAGTTTTATTTCAAATCCTCTAAAATATAAATTTAATATACAAGACTATCAATAACATGAATCACAAAGAATGAAAGGATCAATAAATTCTTGTATCACTACAAGAAAGTAAATACTCACTCAAAAATGGTACAATAATAGGACTAAAATAGTTGTTGCCAAAGACAAAAAGATTTCAAACTTTTAAAACAAAATCAAGAACAAGAAAGGAGTTGATAAGAGCAAAGAAAGGCCACACTTGACACCATATATACTATCTACCTAAGAGCTACACAAGAGTGTTCTATAATACTTCAAACATGTATCCAACTTGAGGGATAAATGTCTAACTTGCAAGACAAGTTTCTAATATGTGCACCACATATACAACTAATACCACAAACCACCAACATTAATGACACATGGTCAATTTGTTTGCTAAGATTTCAACCTATCAATCTCCTACAAACATTGCCTTTTTTTTTTTCTTTTTTCTTTTTTTTTTTTGTGCACACCAACTCACTTTTTTATGTGTAGTTTAGAAAGATAACATTGTCTGTGTACACAGAGGATAACCAACTCGGTTAACATCGGCATGCATAATACCCTGATGAAATAAGGATTACAATACCAGGCAGAGGGCCAATTTCATTTTTGTTGCACAATGAACTTCACTCTCATTGTGAAACAAGCAGAGAAACTAGGTAAAATGTGTTCTTTCAGAGCGGGTTTTAACCCACAACTCGACAGAGGAATTCATCTAGAAAAATCTCAAGCTCCTACCGAGAGCACAACTCAGTTTTGGAGTGCAAATCCGGCCAATTGTTGTTGCAGCAGCAGCAAGTGGATCGACATCAGCATCAGTTTGTAGCTGGGCAAGGATTGGAGAAATGCGAGACCTCGTTGCGAACTGTGGGATCTGGAGTCAAGCACACGCCCACCACCTCATCGTTGGGGAATAAGTGGCCCGACCAAGTCCTGGCGATGGTGAACACAAACACGAATGTCACGGTGGCAGAGGACAAGAACGACAGCGCCGCTGCCAGGATTTTGGCGAAGAGGCCCTGAGTTGCAGTCGCGTAAGCCATCACTGCAAGTGCCGCAGCGGCCATCGGGAAAGTGTACGCCCACCACGCCAAGGAGAATCTGCGCTTGGCCACAAAGGAATCACATGTGTTTAGTGTAGTGCCTGCAAGGATTTGCGTGTCATGTTGAAGAGCATATGGGTTCTGTTTTTTGTGTGGGATGCTGTTGATGTCTGTTCTTACGTTCAGGTTGTGTTGGTTTGGGGTTGGGGTTTTTACCTCACTCCTCGCACCAGATGATTCGCTCGGGATACAAGGAGGAGGTAGAGAAATAGGCCGATGAAGGTCAAGATCTTTGAGAAAGAGTCTTCGCTACCATTGATTGCAATCCAGGTGGTGGCTGCGGTGCTTGGCGGAGCCACGAAGAGGAAGAGGACGGGATGGAGTTGGGAGCCGAGAGGCGTGTTTGATGGTAATCTCATGTAAATGGTTAGGAACACCACGATCTGATGCAGTAACCTGCAAGCACATCGAAAGACAGTTATGTCAAAGCAGAGGCAGAATTCAAAGACGAAGAAGAATTGAATACATGCTGATGCCTAGAGTTTCGTAGACAATATGGGATGGACTTACCCAAATGAGAAGAAAAACAAGCCAAGCTCATGCCAACCAGCCTTGGCGAAGGCTGTGGCGCCGACGAAGTTTCCAATTACTGCAATTTCCGTTGTCGGATTCGCGATGACGCTAAGCCGACGATTGTGTCCTCCCATTAGCCAGTGCCCGTAGAAATGAACCTCGATTAACAGGATCGGTACTGCATGTCATGACCGCTTCATGGTCAGCATCTATTTAAATCGCATGTTCATTAACTAGAAAATTTCTTAGAGGCATGGCAGGGTCAGATAGAGCACGGACCGCAAATAACGAAGGCTCCCACTAGCGTGGACATCCGATCATCATTGTTCACCAGCGTAGGAGCTCCGAGAAGAAGAAACAACGCTGATAGTAATGGCCCAAAGAAAAAATTGGAGCGAACTGGGTGCACAAACTCCCGATACACAGCCTGCGACGAAAGCTATGCTTAACCTTTCTACTCACAGATGGTAACACAGGTTCTTGGCGTAACAATTTTCAGATGGGGAAGGCGGCGTACCTTTGGCCAAAAAAATAATTTCAGAGCATAGATCACGGAAGCGACGATGAGCACCACGATTCCCATGACCCAAAAAATGGTGCCCACTGTAGAGGGCACATGTAAGAACTGCATCGACCTCTCTGTTGCGAGAGCTTTCCATACCATAGATTGACTACCAATGCCCATTGAAATTCCAAACACGTTGACCGGCACGCGGAGGAGGAATGGCCATCGCTTGTCCAGCGGAAACATAGAATCACGTGCATCCTGGATGCCAACAAATCCGGTGCAAGTTAGTTTCTAAAAAATGGTTTTGATTGAATCTTGCTAAAGCTGTCAAATTGGAAGCGGGAAGGTTACTCGACAGGGAAGTGGGTTGTTACATTCATTCTGTCCAGCTCGATTCCATTCATGCGGTCTAAATAGGATTCGGGGAAATGTGTTGTATCCACTTCATCTAAGCTGAGTCGCCGGTGAAAGTCGTCGTTTGATTGGTGTGCATCTAGGCTGCTTTTATCCAGCGAATGTCGGTGCTTGTGAGGAGGATGGTCTTGATTTTCATGTCGCTCTATGCCTGTGTATATGCGCGATCACTGAGTCCAGAAAGAATAGCGCAATTTTCACAAAATAAATAGCCGTGCTGTAACATATACCTTCTAGTTTTGCAAGTATGCTCTTTCACTGTGACAGCAGTAGTTCTTAGCCATTGCAGCCTAAAGGATTAGTGAAAACTTGGATACCTTGATGATCCACGGTTCCGTATTTTAAGCTTTCACCCGTCTGAGAGGCGACCGGCATGTCGAAGATTGTATCCATGTTACATCGTTCGCATCCTGTATGGAGCACGTCATTCCACTCCATTTGGGACTCCAAGTCCCTGGGCGCTTGATGGACTTGCATCTGCGATTCAGACCTGATGATCACGCTGAAGAAGGTATTCAATCAGACAATACGACCGTTATTGCGTTTCGTCATTTGAGGACAGTTGAAAATGAGTTATCACTGGTAAAAATTCGAGTGTCGGACAGGCAAAGAGCCCGCAGCTTCTATCGCTTCATTTTCATGACGTCGAGACCTCCCCTCAAACTGAAACCAAACTCCCAATGTTCTGTCCACCTAGTTCGCCGAGTGTCTCCACGACGAAAACAAAAGCAATGAATAAAACCGCTTCAATGTATAAGCCACATGTGAAGCTATCGTGTGGACCTGTTTGAACTTGGTTTGAAGTCTATTCTTTTAGTCAAGCCGAAGTCAAGACGAAAGGGACGTCGAAGACGTCATTGGAAAGCTCAGAAAATGGACAACGAGGCCGGAACAGAGACAGCTCCAGCGTGCCTACAGCAACGTACGAATGGACATGGAATAGGGGAACATGAGAGTTCATGAATCGTTATCACGTGAGGGTGAGGACATTGCAACTGTTTCCGATACAACACCGGAGAACATGATGTTAAAAAAGTGACTCCACCCGCACGAGCTCACAAACCTGAAGAATAATTGATACCCGACGAACTCTCACACAGGATATTGGGCGCACCACTAGGTTCCGGATCATCCTGCACCGAGACCCTGGAATGACTTTTCAGCGGTTGCCTGCGGGACCTACGCCACAGAAACTTCGTTTGAGCGAACTGTAGCCTAAACTCCACCACGAGATTTCGTCGCCAGGCACGCACCTCGCAAACCCAACGTACAGTCACCCTCACAGCAAGATTCCTCGTAATATTCATTGAGAACAGCGTACAGGAAGTGTAACGAGCATCCTCGAACACTGACGAGCTTTACTAACCATTGCGTCGCACAGTTTCTTAGTAATTAAGAACTCGTTGCAGTAAAGATTCACTTTGGGTATATATCCAGTTACTAGATTTGAGACTATACAGACAGGCTCCGGTAGGGCTTACGAAATTTGGAAAGCCCTAACGGTGCCTTGGATAATTTAAAACGCAGTTGAACAAGGAGACAGTCTCCGAGCTCACTCAGACGAACAAGACAAGCTTATGAGTCTCACGCATACAGACTTCACTCAGCTCTAGAGAAAACTTCCTGCTAGACGGTGACAGCAAAGAGAGTTCATGTTTGCATGAATCTGCTCACCAGCAGCAGGGCAAAACGGAGATGAAAGGTCGTATTATAGATATAAATCCAGTGGATTTAAATGTAGACGACGAAAAAAAACAAAAAACAAAAAAAACAAAAAAAAAGACTGAAAATGAAGGAAGTGGCAGATATCAACAACTTGTAGGAATCACCTCCTCCAGCATTACCTCTGGCCCAGATTCTCCAGTGCCAAACCATCACGAAAGCACATGATCCGTCTGCATATCCATCCCCACAACTACACTACGCAGGGACAAGTCGGAGGGACTGAAAGACCGTAAGGGCACCCTAGATGAAGGCTCACCAGCTCAATGCGTGGGCGGAACTCCAGACCTCTGTGCATAAAAACTCCAACACTCCGACGTCGCTTGGGCACACACTGAGTCAAACTCACTATTTTATATATTCGCTCAGAGAAGTATGGTGTCCGCCAACAAGCCAATGATCGATTCAATAGCACGATCCGCACCCGAGATGGCAAATTCCGCGCAATGACCGATTAACCCCACAGAAATGCCTCCAGCCTTCCGGATTTCCCCACCCAAAGTGAGCACAGGCAAATATTACAACTGTCTTCGGCACTGGGTATGGGTAGGATTCCAGGCTCTAGAAGCGACGGGTGGCAGATTTGCGCCGTAGAGTGAGTTGTCAAACCACATTCCGTGCACCAGAAGTCGCAGCGGAGGATTCTGCTACGGATAAATTACCGTAGCAGTGACGGCGTTGCCATCGTTATAATATGATTGCGTGGAGCCGGCTCTTCGGCACCCGAATAGCCAAGCAAGCAAGGCCGCGCTGAGCCCACTCGCACGCTTTCCTGTGCCGGTGACATGCGACCTGACAGTTAGTTCGTTACTTCCTCCCCTCTTGTCACGGATGAATGAATGACGTTTCCACCAGTGCATGGATGAATTTTCCTCTCCATTCGTTCGGTTTCGACTGCATGCCAAGGCTGCAATCTCAACCTCGCCATGACTCGTTAAAATAATCACTTGTATGTCTTCATTGTTATGTGGTTGCAATAGTTTTAGTAATTCCTCACTGAATCGCAAGATGCTGGTCAGTATGTATTCTGTAAATAAATATCAATAGGTTCCTCCAATTAAAGTGAATTTTATTTTTAAAAAAAAACATTTAATTTTTATTTATTATGATGTTGAAATATAAACAATCTTAAAATTCTATATTTGATAAGTCTTTGTGTATGTGGGTGTGTTTAAGTAAAGAGTTATTAGTGCATATGTTAGAAAATTTCATGTCATAAAAAAAATTGTATTGTAAAGAAAGAAGTTTAGATTCTTTCATCACAATTTAGTAGTAATTTGATAATGTTGACTAACAACTAATAGATGTCAAAATTTTTGATAGATAATTTAATTTTTCAAACTTAATTCTTGCTTGTTGCATAACAGAAGCTTTACTTAAAATTAACATTTTCTTAGTAATAATTTTGAGGTTTATAATACTTTTATAGACAACAATAGAATATAGTAATCAAGATGACATTTCAAGGAAGTTGGCAAAAGCAACCCTAAAAGGTAAAAGAATGGAACTACTTAGGATATGGAGCTAACAACCTGTAGAAAAGATGTCAAGCTCCTTCATTAGATACAACTGTAATATACACATGAATATATCACTTCACCTTGAGCTTGACTTCCAACATAATTGTCAAATCAATATCAATGCCTACAAAGATCTTTTCAAGAGTAATATCACCATCTAATGGATGCCAACAAATGAAGCAAGTAAAAGAATATAATAATAAATGAGCTGATATCTTCAAATGATCCAATGAAGTTATAATTTCTTGGCATTGTCAAGATAGTTTTGCATGTATTTTTCAAGGAAGATATGGTTCCTTACAATATCTTGTAAGAATCTCTAAAAGTAGTTGATCATGTTGTTCTACAAAATTAAACATAAATACCAATATCTCTTCTAATAAAATGATCCATAAGGTAAGTTTGGTGCTCATGTATTACACCCAAATAGAATCTACCAACATAATCATGGCAATTATTACAAATGTCAAAAAAATATTTTTTTTCTTTTTTTCACCAATAAATTATCATGATTTAATCCATATCTCTTCAATCGAATTATTTAAATAAAAAGTAAAAAAAATAAAGTATTTTCTAATCTACTATAATATCATAGTTGGTTGTGATAGTTAGTGCATACTATAAAGACAAGTGTGAATAAAGTGATTCAGGCTTAATATTAAAAAATTAATTGGAATAGTTGTCTAACATAGTTGATAGCTTGCTCATTGCTCTCTACTAAAGTGATGATAGTAAAAACACAAGGCTCAAGGTTTGTAACACTCAAATTTAATTGTAAAACAAATTCTTTACTAATCATAAATAATTGAGCACCAAAGTCTATAATAACATGTAAAAGTCTAAAATAATTGGCATTGCTATCAATATAGCTAATAACAAGCAAATTATTCTCATCAATTAGTTGCACACCTCTTAGATACAAGTTTTGATATTTACAAGCAGATCTAGTTGTAATATCAAACAAATATACTACTCTTGTTATCAATGGCATATTTATGAAGGGAAAAGCTTAATTTACAAAGCATATTTATGAAATATTGTAATAATTTTAACTACAAGCTTAGCTTGCTATGAGTCACATAATTAACTCACTTATATTGTTAATATAAAAATTATACCTAAAGTATACTAATCTAATAAGTTAATATAGGATTTTTGAGATAAATAGCAAAAATTGGATTTTAAATACAAAATTAGGTCTTTAGAAGGATTTTTGAAAGAAGAATTTTAAATAAATAAATTATTTCTTAATAGAGCAAATATTGATTTATAATAAATTTATTCTATTAAAAATTAAATAAATTAAAAAAAAGATAGAATCGAAATAAAATTCATAAATAATAATAATAATAATAATAATAAATATATAAATATATAAAAAAATAAAAATTAAAAGATGGATGAAGAGTAAAAGACTTCCTTTAAATTATGGAAGCCTCTTTGTTGATAGGAATCTAGATTGCCTTAGATCCACTTTCTTTTCTTTTGTTTTGGTTTTTATCATCTTCTTCTTGTCACTATAGTGCCATGACTTGGCACTTCTTGATTTGTTTATTTTATCTTTTATCTTGTGATCAAGGCCTTTGCAATAGGTAACTAATCTTGTTCTTTATTTTTTGTAACTAAAGTGTGGATGCTGACAAGGGTCCAATAAACTCTTCTTATCTTATTTTTATATTAAATAGAGTTCCAAATAGCAAAAGTAGGTTGGCCAAGTGTTTTTTTTTTTTGTCCTTTGGTAGTGGTGAGTTTTTTGATTAAAATCCACCACATCGAAGTATTGTACAACCAAAGCTATAGTGGTGTTGGATCTTTTTTGATGTTCTTGTCATGTAATATAGCTAATAGGTGAAAGAGTGTGGAAATTATTATACTATAGAAGATCTTAATTCAAAATATTATAACAAATTATCTTAGAAATATAGATAATAGTCAAAAGAGTAGTAAAACTAAAAAGTACTAATATTACATTTTACAAAATGAACTTCTATTTACTTTGTAGGACCATAAATAAGACAAAAAAGAAGTTAATTTAATAATTAAATAATTTAGGCATATATACAAGGAAGTTAAGAGTAGATTTTAGTAAAATTTACTTCAAAAAGCTAAGAATTGATACCCAGAGAGGACCAATTGTCAATCTCGGTCGAAATTAGACTCCAAAATACAAAACCACAGACCTACAATAATTCCAAGGTTCTTTTGGAGATCAAAAAATGAAATTTGATAGCAGACTTGATAAGATTTCTATAAGCATTGAATTTGTATGATTTGGATTTGTAATAACTTTATAAGAGCTTTATAAAGTCAAGATTTTTTTGAATGACTTTGATTTCTGTGATATAAAATAGAATTGATATTTTGAGCAATTTCAAGAGTTTCGTAGCAGATCTAAGAATGAAATTCTATAGGTCAATTGTTATAATTGTACTTAATATGTTTTATGAATTTGAACGTGATCTAATTATTGAATTGAGGGTTATTGAGGTTTGAGTAGATCAAGATCTTAGAAAGTAGAATTTTAGGTCCACTGAGGGTTTTCAAGATTTCTTAAAATCTATCAGTTGAATTGAAGTAAAAATTATGTCTATGGATAGTAGACTTGATTTTTCAGATATATGAGAATTTTAAGATCAATTAAACAATATGAAAAGAAGATGCTAGCATTGAAAGTTCAACATCAAGGTTAGAAAAGGAGGCCAACTAATATCCGAGCAGATTTTAGGGTTTTTCTTCCAATTGGTAAATATAATTGTCTTCAAATTTGTGTACTTATTTGTAACTAAGAAATTGAGAGGTGTGTAAAATTTAAAACAAGATCAATGGTTCAATCAAAAGATATTGATGTTATAAACTACCTTAGGATTTGATTTAGAGCTTAGAATTTGATTAGGATTTGGTTTAGGATTTATGATTTGTCTAGGATTTGATTTAGGGAAAAGGATTTGATTAGGATTTACTTTAGGATTTAGGATTTTATTAGGATTCAGTTTAAGATTTAGAATTTAATTAGAATTTAGTTCGGATTTGATTTAAAATTTAGGATTTACCTTGGGTTAGATTTAGAATTTAGGATTTGTTTAGGATTTGATTGACGTCCATTAGAATTTCAACTACAATTAAATTAGAACTTCATTGAGATTTATTTAAGATATACTATGATTATTTTAATATTTTTTAGAGCTTCTTAAGGATTCTCTTAAGATTTATTATGGATTATCTTTCAACTTTTTTAAGATTTCTTATTGTTTCTTTTATAATTTTTTTAAGTTTTCTTTTAAATTTGATTAAAATTTATTTAGAATCATTAAAATTTAATTAAGGTTTATTTAATATTTTATTTAAATTAAAATATTTTTATTGCAATTTCTATTTTATCTTTCATGGCCAGATATCTGGTGCACTCTCAAGCAACACTTCACGTAATAAAACAACATTTGATTACATTTCATCTTTTACTCAAATTTGTACAGTGAGATAGTATCATTCTAGTGGTTTAGTGTAACATAAAGCATAAGTGTGGTTTTTTTTTATTTGTCAGCCATGACTCAGAGGAGATAGTGACTTAAGCTATATTTTTGTAATTATCTCCAATCAGCATGATAGATACACTAATTATATTAGAGTTGTAGAGGCAGCATATTGGAGTGCATCACGTTACAGCAACAACTTAGGTATTGGGATTATTAGTTGGATTTACTTTATTCTACATGGTTCAAGAGTGCAATATTTTTATTGACATGCTATTGTTGCAATGGCAACTAGATAGCCTTTTTTTGTATAAATAATGTTAATATTATCAATCTTGATAGTTGTTATACAATGATATTATAAGCATTGCTAAACACTTCAATACTAAAAGCTATGGATCTTACCAATTGAAAAAAATTTATTTGCAATGATCTATGTATTAATTCTTTTAAGTGATTGATCTAAGTAAGCTTAGTATTAATTACTTATTCTAGCTCATGGTCTATTACTTGTTGTCGT